TAATGTAATATTTACGTTTATTTTAAATATTCTGATTACAGAGTGATTTCAAAACAAGACTCATATTCTTTGATTTTTAGGCTCCAAATGTTACATTCTATTTCCTCTGCTTTGACTATTTGCCTAGGACGTATGTCTACAACCACAACAATAATAGATGGTAAGAACGGATCCGTTCCCTCATCATCCATGAAAGTGGGCAAGAAATCAGTTACAGAAGACCTCGTGGCAACGTTCAGCTCACCAGCAGCATGGCTTCTTGTTGTTGCTTTGATTGTTACCTGGTCAGCAGTAGCTATTGTAATGTTTGACTTGGTGGATTACAAAGCCTTTGCAGGTAAAATTCAGCATATTCTGTTTGACATCTGCTATATTAAAATTTAAAAAAAATATTAAGCCATGTGTATTATATAAATATGCATATGTCTCACCTTCCTGGAGACAGCAGTGTCTCTGCTGAGTTTACCAAGAATGGAAATATTGTGAGAAATGTCAGAACATATTAGTTTACACTTCATACATCTTCATAATTTAAATGTCTTCATTTTGCAGCCTATCTTTTGTCAAAATGTGTACTTTGACAGTAATATAGTAGGTATATAAGCATATATGGTCAGATTTCTATTTTGCAATTTCTATTTAAAATTATTTCAAGAAAAATAAAATTCACACATTTTCTGAAATGTATTTTAAAGTCTTTCATGGTTACCTTGAGTATTCTGGCATCTGCTTACAAAACTCAGTGACAAGAAAAATGCAAAAGGTCATTTCTAAACATATTAACCTTAAATTAGTCTTCAAAACCCATAAGCACAGAGGACTAGATTTTTAATATTAGCTAAGTCACACCCTTGTCTTCAATAATGCAATAATTCTAGCGTAGTTTAAGACTTGGCAAACTGACAGAAAGGAATGGGACATAGAAATTACCTCACTGCTACCTGACTTTTATGCCTTGTATCTGGCAGTGGTATATAATGAAAAATAAAATAAATTAACTACCTATGTTTGTAAAGAATGCATAATGTTCAGCAAGCTGCTTCAGCAGTAAAACTTTTGTGAAGTAAACAGCCTGTAATGACTGGGAAACATGTATGAGAAACAGAAAACAAATATTTAGGATCCTTTACTTTCTCAAATAAGAACTTCAGCTCTAAAGTTACCACATTTGTCACAATAATTAACTAGGAGTTGTAATTTAGACTTCAACCTTTTAATTCAAAACAAATTGAGTTGGTATTTCAAAGTTAATTTCCTGGACTTTATTAGTTTACTGATAAATCCATAGATTTTTGCCCTGCTATCTATCAATATTGACCTCAAGGTTTACTTAAAAAGCTTTTGAGACATAGATAGATCTTGAAAGAAACTGACAAATCCTGGATCAATGGATGACACAGAAGCTTGAAATGTGGAGAAAACATATCACAAACCTCTCTTAAATTGTTTGCTTCTTATCTGTCTTTGTTTTCAGAAGGAAGTCACTTGAGTCCCAGCAAAACAAAGTTACCTTTGAGCAATCCTCCCAAAACAGGCATCAGATTTTAATTTGGACACCATACACTTAATGCCACAATGTAGATATAAACCAAGGGAGAGAAAACACCATATCTGCTTTTAATTTTTCATATTAACTATCAATCAGTCAGTCAAGTTCTTAATATATTTTCAACAAGCAGAGCATAACTCAGACTAAACTCTTAAACCAAGCAATTCCTGAACTGGCGGTCAGCTCACACATGCTCAATATACCATTCAGAGTAAAGCTAAGCAATGAGAATCTGTATTCATACTGGGGACTGAAGGAAACTTTCTAAGCAGATGGAAATCTGATGTTCATGTTGTATTGGTTAAATGAAATTAAATCCCACAAGTGTTGATGGAAACTGACATTTTCAGACCAGGCTGTAGAAAGAAAATAATGTAAAATTTAATCTGCAGGGTGAATTCATATTTTGTGGAGATTGTTGAGAGATGATATTTCAGTATTTCGAGTTCATGAGTTCGTTTCTTTTCCTTCTCAAAGATATTTCTCTTCCTAAGTGATTAATTAAACCAGCATTTAAATCAGATATCAATGGTGAAATATTGAAAAGGAACTGCTGTGCTCCCTCAGACCAAGATTTATTAGACTATTTTCTGTATTTTCATATATATAACAATGGTTATATAGCTCTTACCATGACCCTTGGGTTTCAACTCCTGAGTTCCTACTTAGTCTGATTTTTCCAGGTTAAAACCACTGAATTATAAAAAATTCCATGGAAACAGCTGAAGATTTTGCATAGGATCACCTGGCTGGCATTATTGATTTTTACCCTCTGACAGTTTGGCCGTTTGCCTCCAGTGGAGGTAATGTCATCTTTTAATATAAAAAGTAAAATTTGAAGTATATTTTTAAGTGATTCCTTAACTCTAAAACCCAGTAATATTTTCTCTTGGGTTTGACGCTGTTCTTTGAACAATCAGACCTTTCTAAAAAAAAGTGAATACTTATTTTCAGGTCTGTAAGTTTAGTTTTGCAAGAATGATTAAAATTAATTTCCTAGTTTTCAAATGTAAATGAAAGATGACAAAGAAATTATATTCAACTGTATATTTTTAATCTATAAAACACATAATATTCAGTGTATTTTTCCTGAAATAACACTTGCCTTTCATAAGTCAGTACATTCAATTTCTTTCACATTTCTTTACCTGAATTTCCATGAAGTTCAAATTTAGGAAGTATGCATAGCATATGAATGAAGCAAGCTGAGAGAGCTGAACTCAGTTAGTCTAGAGAACAGGAAACTGAGAGGTGACCTAGGAGCAGCCTGCAACTTTTTGAAAGGCAGTTACAAAGGTGACAGAGGACGAACGGTTAACAAGATGATGCCCTTGTTGTATCAGTTGATATAACAAGGAAGATATGGCCACAAATTGCTTTCTGAAAGGTGCACATTGAACTCTGGCAGGGAGGGAAGTCTTCACTTGGAGGGAATTATTTACCCAGAGGGAAGTACAGCACTGAAACAGATTGCTGAGTGGAGCTGTGGATTCTTCAACCTGGGTAGTGTTCAAGACCTGGCCAGATGGCCATGGCTGGCTGGATCCAGTGTTGGCAACAGTCCCTCACTGAGAAGGATTGCACTAGATGAACTCCAGAGATGCCTACTGATTAACGTCTACATGATTGCAAAATTTCATTAAAATGTCTGTTAGAACCAGATGAGGTATTTAGAAAACACCTAGCCAGAGATCTCAGTGGAGACACAAAGATAGCTAAGGGGTAGATTCTCCTGTCCTCACACATGAGGAGTGGATCTGTGGACCTTTGCAGTCAGGTTTCAATCATTCATACAGTTAATCCTGTTTATTTTTGTGCAATTGTTTCATAGTGATTCCTAGTGGGATGACTTAAAAGCATACTGTGCACATCTACAGAATCAGCCCTTTGCCAGTTTTGTGGGAAGCAAGGACCTGAGCTGGGAGAACTCTGGGAGGGATGGGTAAAGTGCTACACACCTCCACAGTGAGGCTGGCTGTGACCTATGGGCTCCCACCAGAGACTTCCACTACGTTTCTGTGCCAGATATTACTGTCTCCAAAACAGAGCCACTAGTAGTGATTACACTGCACAGTACTGACTGTGTCAGAAAACAGGAGTGGGCTGACATAATAAACCAGGCTAGGAACTGTGTGGCTGAGGAATATACATGGATTTGTTCCTCCTGATTACACTATAGAGCTGCTAGCTTCTGGCCAATAAAGGAAGTGTAATGCCCTAAGTTATGAGTTATCTAGATTACACAGAGATTCATGGAGCTCAGTAGAAACACAACACATCAGCAGAGTAGGAAGTATTTTAGACTTGAACTCAAGTATTGTTTACCTGTTTCAACAATTAACAATTTTACTCCCATTTTCTTAATGGCAAATAATTCCAAAAAGACACAAAATATTAGTATATATATTTTAGCTCTTATGTACTCTTTTAATTTATCAGTATGAACTTCACTTTTCCTCTATTATTAGAGTGCCAACCCATAGATTTTACTTCTTGATTACTATGATTTCACATTCTTTTAGAAGTAAACTCTCAAATTTTGTAATTTTTTTCAATTTATATAAGATTAAATTTGTCTCAGAGATACCTATATGTAAATTAGGCATTTGTTTTCATCCTCAAATAGATGTGGTAAATTGCTTTTTGGAAGATTCTTTCTATTCAGTATTTGAAAATGAGCCTTTAGAACTGAGGGAAGCTGAGGTTAACTTTGGTTGAAGGCAGTTGAAGTTAGATTATGTGAATTCAAACTCCACTCATAGAAACATTTAAGATGTATTTTGTGCACTTTTACACATCTAGAACATAGTTACTGTACATTCTATAGTACTCCATGGTATTCAGTGGGTGCTGGTTATGATACAAAGTCTAACAGGAGGACCCTGTGTTATGGGCTATACGTGTAAAGCTGTGCCTCTTTGGTGGTTATGTGTCAGTTTGTTCCAAAGTTGAAACAGAGATAGCATCTGCAAGTTAGCTTTGGCAGTGGATTTTGAGGAAAGCATGAAAAAAGAATTAGATGAGTGCTGAAAGATTCGTCTGTGTTCTATCTATGTAGAAGAAGGAAATTAAATTTTGCAGTGTCTCGCTTTAATATGTTATGTTCATTCCTTTGAGGAAAGAAATGGAAACTTGCATTCCTCTCGTGCTGTATGGTACAACTATAAACACAACTAAAATATTTCTAATGTGGTGTGAAGGTGACATGCATTACAAAAACCTGAGAGATAAGAAACTATGAATCTCATGCAGTACGAAGCGTGTATGAATATGCAGTAAGTAGCACACAACATTAGATGATGTCTTATACATTCTCAGTGTTTTCAGAAATGCAGAAAAAGATTCGTTTTGGTTTGATGTGTGCTTTGAAGCAGTTTATTACTACCATCCTTTGTGTTAGAAAATACACCTTGTTAATTGACTTCATAATTCATGAATATATTTCACACATTTCTTGTACACATAACTGGATTATATATTTTAATTGCTAAATGTAACTAAATAATTTAAGATTATTTTAGTCCTAAAGATTGGTTACCCAGGAATACATGTTTGCTAATGGGCTAATAAAGTGTTCAGAATTCCCTGCCATCTCTGTGACCAATTACAGATAATTAGTGCCATCCTAATTTCAGATCCACAGTGCTCAATATTCAGAGTAAATGGTTAATGATTTAGCCAGTCACCTAAAGGACAGACTAAATCAAACCTAATGAAACCTCACTAAATCTATGAAACCTAAAACTATCCACAAAATAATCTAAGTGAAAATACAGAACACATATAGAGCATGGTGAGCTTGCCATTTTATCATGACTGCTTTCATAAAAGAAAAAAGAACAGGCTCTTTGTTGTTGATAATTCATTTTGCTCAACCATAAAGAGGCTTTTTGAGACTTGCAGGAAAAGCAGATCTCTGTGGAGGTAATACCTGTAAATGACAGGAATGGGGAGCTAACAGGGCATGGAGGCACAGAGCTCCCAGCTCTACAAGAAGCAGCAGGGATTCCAGTCAGATGTTTTCTTTAATGGTTTGTTGGGGTTTTTTGGGGGGAAGGATTGGGTTTTTTTAAGTTAATGGCAAAACATCTGACCAAATTGTTATCCCACATAACAAAGGAATGAGTTGTAAAACAAAGGTGTTGGCTCTCACGGTACTCACCTTGGAGATTATGAAAATAGTGCTAGAGTCTTTTAAAATATAATTTTTACTGTAGTTACAGGTGTCAATCCAGAGCATGAGTAAACAGTTTACCATTTCAAAGTTTTTAATGAAATTCTTAATTTAACTAGATGGGACTTCCATTAATGTACCCAAAACCTACAAAATATTTTTTCACTTTCATCCATAACGATAAAAACAATCAAAGGATTTAAACCCAATTCTGGTTTAAAGAAGGGTTACCCAGATGACATTTCCCATAGTTCACTCTTTAGCAAATAGCACAACTGAGTTATAAACCCCCAGAAAATGACTTTATACTGGAAAGAATAACAGTCTATGAAGTACTGCAGTGCTGCGTTCATCCCAAATGGTCTGGCATATACAAGATGATAAATTGCAATAGATCAAAATTCATGAGGTCATGAAGTTGAAAATACAAAATTTCAGAAACTGACTCAATGAATAGGGAAGGATCTAAGAAGAGAAATGTGTCTTGCATGCTTAAATGTGCTTCATGGGACACAAGACACAAACCAAATTTCCAGTCCATAATGGTATCTGTGAGATTTCTAATTTTAAACAATAAACCAAAATAAACCAGCAATTCATTTCAGTAACAACTGTAGTAACATGATTCTTTTTTCATTTGCTGTTGACAAAATCTAAATAATTCATCTAGAATCAACTATACATAACTTATTATTTTATAGACACAGCAATAGAACGTGTTTGCAACTTGTGAAAATACTTCTGCCTTATTTAACCATGTTTTTACATTGCTCTGATTCGTACTATATTATCTTTCACCTACAGCGTATTGTTTTTCTTTTTAGTGAACTGCAATTTCTGCTTCATAACAGCAGCCCCACAGAGATGAAATAACTCCTCACTTCACTCCTTAACTTCTTCCTTTAGTCAAGCAAAAGCTGAGGATGTTCGTTACTGCTAATGATGTTTCTTCCTTTTTTTATTGGCCTTTCTGGGTTTCCTCCTGTTGACATCCACTATAGGCACCTATTCACAACATTGCGATGATCCCTGTTTACCACCTGGTAAAGACGTTCTGCCTGCAGTGTTCTGAATATGCATGTGCGATAACAAAGCATGGGCACGAGCAGAGTGCCAGAACGAGGCAGCACTGCTTCTCTGCTAACCCCAACTCTGGCTGGCTGGGGCTGCAAAGTTCATTGCAATAGCCTCCTCCTGATTTTCACTTCATACTTGAAATAGATCTGTCAGCTAAGAGGCACCTCAGTCCTCAGATTCACAGGAAATGGTGGCAAGTTGAGAGATACTAATTTTACCCTCGTAAATACCCTTTAAAAATGGCATTGTACAATCATTTAACAGCACTGCCTTTTTATTCTGAAGTTAAGATCTGTGTTCATAATCAGAGAATTGAATCCTTAGAATCAGAAAAAATAAAACTTCAGATAATTTTAGATAAAATAATAGAATCATAGAATGTTTAGGGTTGGAAGAGACCTTAAAGATCATCTAATTCCAACCCTTCTGCCATGAGCAGGGACACCTTCCACTAGACCAGGTTGCTCAAAGCCTCATCCAAACTGGCTTTGAAATCTTCCAGGGAGGGGGCATCCACAACTTCTCTGGATAACCTGTCCCAGTGTCTCACCACCCTTGCACAGGAAAAAATTTCTTCCTAATATCTCATCTAAACCTACCCTCTTTCAGTTTAAAGCCATCATCCCTTGTTCTATTACTACCTGCCCTTGTAAAAAATCCCTCCCCAGCTTTCTTGTTCCTTTCAGAAACTGGAAGGCTGCCATAAGATCTCCCCTAAGCCTTCTTTTCTCCAAGCTGAACATCCACAACTTTCAGCCTGTCCTCATAGGAGAGGTGCTCCAGCCCTCGGATCATCCTCATGGCCCTCTGGACTCATTCTAGGGCCATATATTTCTTGTGCTGGGGGCTCCAGAACTGGACGCAGTACTCCAGGTGGGGTCTCACAATAGCGGAGCAGAGGGGCAGAATCACCTCCCTTGACCTGCTGGCCATGCTTCTCTTGATGCAGCCTTGGATACGGTTGGCCTTCTGGGCTGCAAGCACACATTGCCGGCACACGTTGAGCTTTTAATCCACCACCACTCCCAAGTCCTTCTCTTCAAAGTTGGTCTCAAGTCACTCATCACCCAGCCTGTATTTGTACCTGGGGTTGCCCCAACCCAGATGCAGGACCTTGCATTTGTCCTTGTTGAACTTCATGAAGTTAGCACAGGCCCACCTCTCAAGCTTCTCAAAGTCCCTCTGGATGGTATCCCATCCCTCCAGCATGTCAATCACACCACACAGCTTGGTGTTGTCAGCAAACTTGCTGAGGGTGTACTCAATCCCACTGTCCATGTAACCGACAAAGGTGTTGAAGAGCACCAGTCCCAGTACCGACCCTTGAGGGACACCACTCCTCACCAGTCTCCACTTGGACATTGAGCTGTTGATCACAGCTCTTTGAGTGTGACCATCCAGACAATTCCTTATCCACCAAGCGGTCCATCCATTAAACCCATGTGTCTCCAATTTAGAGACAAGGATGTCATGCAGGAAAGTGTCAAACACCTTGCATGAGTCCAGGCAGATGACATCCATTGCCTTAGCCTTATTGACCAATGCTGTAACCCTGTCATAAAAGGCCACCAGACTGGTCAGGCACAATTTGCCCTTGATGAAGCCATGCTGGTTGTCACTAATCACCTCCTCACACTTCCCATGTGCCTTAGCATAGTTTCTAGGAGTATCTGCTCCGTGATCTTGCCTGGCACTGAGGTGAGACTGACCGGCCTGTAGTTCCCCGGGTCTTCCTTGTTTCCCTTTTTAAAAATGGGGGTTATGTTCCCCTTTTCCCAGTCTGCAGGAACTTTACCAGACTGCCATGACTTCTCAAATATCATGGATCATCATCACAAAATGTCTATCTGTTTCAGAAAACACCACCTAATTAAGGTCTGATCCATCAAATCAGAAGCCTTTCAGTTGATGTCAAATCAAGTCATATAAATTACATGTAAAGGCCATCCTAAACATACATTCCTGTCCACGTGTATGGCTATACCAAAAGTACCTGTAATGACTTGATACTTTGTGAGATTGTGAATTTCCTTCTAAATTTTGGCAAGTAGATTCTAGTTATAACTACTTTATTCTCCTTTTGGGTGAAATGTCTTTGTCAAATTTCAGGTGAGGTTTTGTCTATGGACTTGACCTCAATATAATTGTCTAAGGCTAATATTAGAAAGAAACAGGGAAGATTTATACTACAGACTCTCGTCTTCATATTTACAATTGAAGTACCTATAAGACGGAAATTACTGGATAATGTTGAGTCTGAGTTTTCTTTGGGTTTTTTTTTTATACCTATAATTCAATGATACCCACCAGAGTTTGCCCTGAAGCTTAGTGCTCTAAGCATGACAAAAATGTTAGTTTATGAAACAGGAAGATATGATCTCAGGACACCTACGCTGATGAATTGGGATATTAATAACAGAAGACTTATGTGTATATTGAGTTTTATATGTTGGATACTACTCTTCAGAATAGCACAAAGTAGAAACAAACTGCTATTACTAACAACAAACCTTAAAAATATATAAATTTTCAAATTATTATACAGGTCTCTATACTCATATGAGAATATTTTACTAAAACTAGGATATGTTTTATTATCACAAACTAGTTTTAGGCTTTTGTATTTTAGCAAACATGACAGAAATTCTCTGTCTTTATCAGCTGTACCTTGTCAGTATCAATGAATTAGATTATATCTCATGGATCAATCTTTACGCCAAATAATTACCATCATTTGTAATTTAATTGCATTCAGTTCACTGCTGTCAAAATACGTAATTGATGAAAATCCAACAATTATTAAGTAATTCAATACAATTCATTAAAAAACCCCAGCCTTTAAAATAGGTTGAACTCTGAGTATATTTAACTATTTGACAAGCGAAAAAGATTGATAAGAGACTACATTCCTGGCAGAGTTATTAAGATTGGAGTAATGACTGAAGTGATTTGCACAGATAAATCAATTAGTCACTTTTTGTTGTGCACTTCACAGGAATAAATAACATGAAACATAACTAAATTTGCTTGAGGCACTACAACAAATCATACCGCATGATTAATCAATTCCCATTTCCACAAGCCAATGTTAAAGGATCCATTATCAGTCCTGATGAAAAAAAGGTTTCTTCTTTTGCAAAATACCACAATTTTACTGAGGCTGAAGTGAGTTTGTCACTTTATGAAAATTATCTTCCATCCCAAGAATGTACCTAATGCTAATTGAAGGACTTTAGTAGTCTGTCATTCATTGATTTATTGGTATTGATTTATATTGATTTATAAGTGTGAGTTATTAATAGCATTAAAGGTATGAATTCTATTTTCAAATTAATTGGAGTTAAAATTGTGAGCCAAGGAGAGTTCAAAACTGAAGAAATTAGTTGGTGAGAATTCTTGTTCTCACATTTTGAATCAAATTACTGTTTCTGTACCAATAATACCGGAGAGCTACAAATAGTTATAGCAGTTTAATTTTGATGTAGTTATAATGAAAGCCAGTCTCAAAATACATAGAGAGCTTTCAGAAGTATTTAACACCTACAACACATCTGAAATTATTTCTTAAAGAATTATTTTAACAAAATTTGCATATGTTTAGTAAAGAAAATCCAAACAAATTTCTAAATTTTCTTGCAGATATATACATCAGGTAACAAACATTCTCCAATCAAATTCAGTTGAGTTTTCCTACAATAAGGCTTTGTTGAAAGGTAGTGTACAAAGTCCTTCAATTTGATTGGGATTCTTTCTCTGTCAGTTTTAACTCTTCCAAATTTTAACATTTGCTATGAAGTTCCGGAATCTTGAAGTTCCTACTGAAAAATAAAAGGCAAAACTTTAAATTATTCTCTTAGCAGTGAAAGTGCCAGCACAAGTAAAGCTGAATTTTTACTGAACTGAAAAATATCCCTTATAATGTACCAAGTAATAAAAGACGATGACAAAACAAAATATTATAGCAAAGCATTGCTGGTGGTACCAGTACTGTTTTGGAAAACAAATACTTTATCAATGTGACTAGTCGTATTGATCTGGAATTAATTATGAATGTAAAGTTACAAATCTAAGTGCTTAGCCAAAGTCTACAATGACAAGAAGGTTTCAAATATGAAACAGCACTGCTAATAGGAACCATGTCACATAGCTCAGCCATATGAAAATAAAACGTCATGTCCATGCAAATTTTTCAGGCTTCCTTTCCTTCCTAGTCAATGGAAAGGGATGGGCATCTTTGGAAATTAATTCATATAACACTAAAAACATGTCAGAGGAAAGCGAGAGACTTGCCTTCTGAAGGTCATAATGTCTTTCTGCACTGGCTTTTGAGGGAGTCTAGAAACCACCAGGGCTTTCAGGTACATTTAGATAGATAGGATAATCTGAATTTAAGCTGTGATTAAATGAAATCACATAAAAAATTCTTCAATATCAATTGCATGTCTCATCCCTGAGCTTAACCTGCTGAGTAACCATTCACTTCCTTTCCCTTCCGTCCTCCTTCTTCCTTTGACAGACATTTCATGTTTTTCTACTACATTATCTAAGAACAGTTGAGTCAATCTCTGTTTACAAGTTCAGCAAAATGTAGAATTTCACAGCCTGTACCTGTCTGAGAAATACTCTATTCATAAAGGTTCTTTACAGTTTAAATTCAAGATCCTACCCCTGCACAATAGATATATATCATATATTAATTATAGTTTATAGTTACAGATTAGTTAAAAATTATATATGACATACTATATAACATATGCTAGCAAGAAAAGTATACTGTGAGCTTACTTTTAAAATAATTTGTGTTCTAAGGTCTACCAAGAATTGAAAAGTCAGAGGACAGCTAATCCAGTCTGAATGTGTTGAATCCAAGACTATTCTAAAAAAATTCATCATACTATACTCTTGCTGGACATCTGTAAATAAATAAATAAATAAAATACCTAAATTACATCAAAATACCAAGCTCAAGCTTTGTTGTGAAAATATGCATTCTCTCAGCTTCACTCTTGAGCCAAACCGGGCCCGATTTGCATAGTCTTGTGACTATGCAAATCCTCTGGAAACAGTTACCTTTCTTTGCATGTGTGTGAGGCAAATTACATCTTTCTCTCTACGTGTTATTCTCTGAATTGCTTTATTTCCTTTGTGTCTTGTGTGTTTTGTTTTACTAGGGAAAAGTTGTGGGGGGACTGAAAAGCATGGATTTGATCAGTAGTAACTTTCACTTCAGTGTTGCCTAATGTGATGTTAAGCATTTTAGGACACATTATTACTGTTATCACTTCTTTTAAAAAATGTAGGAAATAAAGCAGAAGTTAAACAGAAGATCTATGCATAAGGAGACACCTTTCTAGTCCTTTGCCACTTACATCAGACCACAAGTCAATCTCACAGTATTTCACAAAACTTAATTTTGCAAATACCACTAAAGTGTCCTCTACACAGTCCCAGAATTATTTTTTGAAACTTTTTATGCTAAACAGGATTTGATGTGTGAGCCTGTTAGCTGAGGTGTGACTGGAGAATTCTGCCTCTGGACACTTAAAATTTCTAATCCCTTTTCATAGTTTGCTATGAAGATGTTATGAATTAAAGACCAGGATATGACGTTGAGGGCTCTGATTCATCAGCAAAGATGGCTTGCCTTGGGGTGATTGGAATAATTTTCTCTGCTCTTGATCTTGTCCTTCTCTGAGCATTTCCCTTGCCTGCTTGAGGGGACAGCTCTGCTACCTGTGAAGCAGTCCTTGAACTGCTAGTTTATAGACTTGTATATAAAATAAAGTCACACCAATTCTTGTTTAGTTTACAGTTGTAGTCCCTGCAGCTGTGAAAGCCTGTGGCTATAAAAGCAACTGAGCCATCCTTAAGCAGTCAGTGGGTAGAGGGTAGTGGACAGCCAGAGTGGAAATCAAGGAGCTGTCCGAAGTTAAACCATCGCTGCTCGTGAATCAAAACCTCGGTTATGCTAAGATTCGTCTGTCCATGTCCATTCTATTAGTCCACTTTGAGTCCTTAGCGCCTCTAGATTAGAATAAAGTGCAAATGACCTCTGGAGTCATCAAGTTGCAGATTTGCATTTTAATAGCCTAAATATAGGTATTCATTCTCCTGCTAACACCCTTAAGAAATGCATTTGTGGCAAATCAGTTGAAAAAATAAAATCTCTACATCTCAATACGAGACCAATGCAAATAAATAAATGCCTTATGATAAGCAAAGTAAATATTTCCTGTTACACTACTCAGTATTTCTGAATACAATAGTGCACACAGTACTACACTACATCAAGATAATATACATAATTATTTGCAATTATTTCATCATGGCACACAATTAATTTATTTGATGCACCTGATTGTTCAGTAGCATATATTTTATTATATAGATTATTGTATTATATAGATATAATACAATCTTTAAAAAAACATTAACCAAAATATTTCTTTGGTCTACATTATTAATAGATGCAAAATAAGAGAAAATCAGCCTAGTCTTTTGTATATCAGATTAATTAATTAGAAATAAAAGGAATTCTTTAGTGATGCATTCATATTTCAAATAAAGTTACTTGTACATTTCATTACAGTAATTTTAGAAAATAACTGTTCGTATTGCTGCCATCAAAGAAGTTGCTTCAAGCCTGCACTTTGCCTGTCTTTGTAACCTGCAAGTCGCTGTGAGGCTACTTCTGATTACTGCTAAGATTTGGCTTGTGAGTCAGAACACTGCAACCAGAAGCAGTTCTGAAGAGACTTTAACTTCCTACTAAAATATTTACATATAGAAAGAAAGTAGTATACAGATATATGGTTTCCCTCTTGATGCTGTTCAATTCTGTGTGTATTTTGGTTGAAACTCCTAGGAACAAGACTAGGTCAATGACTCAATATTTATGATCTACCTTCAATTGTCTGTTTTTGTGGGAAACCTTCACAGAGTCAGGGCAATCATTTAGTCTGCCATTTCAAGTACAATGGACAGTAACATGGACTGAATAAGAGTTTGCCCTCTTCCTAAGCGGTGCTTGGTACAGATTTTCAAGAAAATAAAAGTTGGCTGGATGGAAAGCTAATTAGAAATACTCTGTCAGAGGCTGGAAAGTTCTTCTGAAATGTTATGTCAGCATAAACAGGATAGGGAGAAATCTGGTGAAATCACTACTGGAAAAGCTGTTAAGGGAACACCTGTATTAGGCACTGATGGTTGCACTTCCTGAGTGTGGATACAGTATGGAGCAGGGGCCTCACTTCCATTGGAGGTCCCAGAAAGGTGGAGCAGATTAAACTGCAGAGTTCCATATTTGCCAGCTTACTACAGGAGAAGTAATACAAGAACTAGTTAAGTATGCAGATATGTGCAAGTGTATGTGAAAGAAATTCTAGAAAAGCTGTAAGAGAAGAATCAGATAGACAGGAGTACATGTTTGAAAGTGCCTGTCTCTGTGTCACAATTTGGACTTTGGATTCCCCTTCATTCTGGACTCAGGTTTATTTTGGCCCAAGTATACAGAGCTTTCTTCTTCCTATCCTTTATATGTACTTCATGGCAGTTATACAACCTGTCTGTGTGATTAAGCCAGGGCTCAGCAACTTCCTCAGCTAGGACTTGTGTAAAGGAGGGAGCTCAAGGAGAGATGTGATGTGAGGAGTGGGACACAGATGACAGTGAATCCTAAACTGGCATCAAGAGGCAGAGGACATGGGTCAGAGGAAAAAACTGGAATGAAAGGAAGAGATTATCTAAACGGACGGATATTAAGTAGAATCAAATCTATATTTGTCCTTTTCCCAACTAAGCCACAGAAGAAGAGCAAGAACTGGGCGCACAGTGTCAGATCAAATTATCCACTGGGTCCTTAATCACTCTGCGAACAGCAGGTACAGTAGGATACAGTTTATACGTCTTGCACAGGAAGGAGAGCTGTCCTCAAAATCTTTAATAATAAAAACTAACATTCACAATCCCTGTTTCTGTTAAAGGAGGTAGTATAACTAGTCCTGTATAAAATGAAGGTTAACTTTAATCACTGAAGGAGTTTGGTTTTTTTTCAAACTGTTTTTGTTTTAAACTCTGCACTCAGGGAGATCTGTTAACAAGCTCAGCACAGAACCACTGAGAATCATTCATGAAACACTCGAAGAATCCACTGATTGGCTTTATGGCTTTATTTCTTTACTGTCTGACATCGTGTGGAGTGATGATGATGACAGTGATGAAGGTATTTGTAGTGTAAAGACTTCTGTAACTACTCTAACTGTTGTTTTACATGCATTATGTTGGCTTGCTCAGCTTTTAACCTCACAGACAAGAAGGTCAAACAAAATGAAAAGTGAACATTCTTACTAATAAAGCATCTACTGGTTATTCCAATCAGTAAATTGGTCTCTTTGTTAGCTTTCATCTCGTGTTTAATGTACCATTACAGAAAAGCTGTCAGAATTAAATATTAACATTAGTACATCTTGAAGTAAAGAGCACTAATTTATACAAGACTTCAAAGCCACAACCAAAACATGCATCAGAACATTGCTTCAGAGAATGGCAATAGCTTTTTTCTTTTAATCACCAAGAATCTAAAGAACCCCAGTAAACATAAAAGACAGACCAAGAAATTTAGGACTTTTTTACTTGATATATTGATGACAGGACAATATATTGAAACAAACAAACAAAAAAACACTCACAAAAAAAAGGAAAATAATATTTTGGCTGAACTAAGGGGATTTTGGGTGGCATTATAAGAACATTCTCCATCTGACATAATCTGATAAATGAAAGTAAGTTGCTAACATTTCAAGTTTGGAAATAACTATCTTTCTGTTAGAAAGAAAAAAAAAAAAAAAAAAAAAAAAAAGTAGTTTCCTGGTAGAGCAGAAGTGGATGATCATGTCACACCATATTGGTCACTTTGACAAGCAATGAGTGTAAGAGTGACATCTTCATTTCATGGTAGTTTATTTTGTATTCAATTTGTCTATACCAGAATACAACTAAAAAGCAAGATGTATTGAAACAGACTTCTATGCATTTGTTCATAAACTTAAGATACTATCAGATTTCTACTTTTTAAATGTATGCATGAGCTTTTCATATTAGCACTATATACAATTGCTAATAGGCTGCAACATGTAAGTGTGTGAACTGAGCATACTATTCTGAGATATGATTTGCAACTAGCTAAAATCCAATCTCTCATATGGTTGAGAAATAGAAAAGGTGAAATGCGGAGAGCTTTCTGAAATTTGAAAAGTGTTCATTTTCACCATTTCATAGTGCACAAAGCATCTGAAATCTTCCAAATATTCAATTGGATAAGTGTTAATGCAGATAGGAAAGGTCATAAAATGCCTGATATACAAAAATTCAAGATCTGAATGCTCACTAAGAAGTACTTGGAAATCTCAGTCCCAATCTTTAGTGGAATTACCAGGAATGTGAAAAGACAGTAGGCAATTTACTGCATTATATCATAAAAACTGTGTGCATGTGAACTCCATGCCCACTGTGTACTGCAGTCAGTGCAGCCAAAGTTGCACACTCACGACAGTCATCCAGGCTTAATCCTTTAAATTCCACGTCCCACATGGAGATGGAGTGACTCAGCAGAAATTAAACGCTCGTAGTTCCACTGAAATTGAGTAATTTTTGCCTTGGATTTCACTGGAAGTGTTGCTTATAATCTTGCTAACTTGCATATGCATTTTATTTTTTTGTAACTAAAATGAAACCACTGGGCCTTTCCTTAAAACACAGAAACATGTATAAAATCAAGCAAATTGTAAATTTTAGTCACAAATTAACATTCAGAAGCAGATTTGGATGTTTCCTTGGTTACTACTGTGCATTGAATTTGTCTACCCCAGACACAGGAAAACCTCTATAGTAAGAGAAAAGTGTTATGAAAAATCCAAAATCTCAGAATAGATTGCGTGCCATTTAGCGTATAAAGAATCTATATATATTTTAATTAAAATGAGTCAATGTGAGAAAAAACATGTAGGTGTTCTTTGGGTTTTTTTAATTATGATATATTTTCTCTGACATTTGTTCTTTTCTCTTGGTTTAGGTGAAGTGGAATCTTCCCTGAAAAAAGGTTGGTCAGTTGTTTTACTATAGAGGGCAAATGTTTTGCAAGCGTTTTAAGAATTAACTAGTATATGTGCAATATAGATTCTGCCATTAGTTACGTCAGTCTACTAAAGGTGTAAATTGTTCTTTGACAAAATTATTAAATAAGAAGCTTGAGTAATAATAGTTGCTGTACTGTTTGCTGCTCTGTGAGAGTTCTTGACTGTTTCATTATTATCCAGAAGATCTGAAAAATGTTCATAAAAAATAATAGAATTACAGAAATAATATTAGCTGTACCCTTGCCCTGTATTAATGCCAATACGAGTTATGTGTATGTCTGGATAGAAATCACATTTAGAAATAATAATTTAGAAGTAATATTTAGTGAGAAATAATGATGAGGTGTCATAAAAGCATTTTACCCTGTGCCAATGCAGAACCCTAAAGTAAGGACTACGTCTGAATCTTCTGAAAAAAATTACTTAGTTATCATTGAATTTTTAGAGCACATGAGTGATACAAGTAGGATTTATAATATAATTTTTTTCAGACACAAAAACTGTTATGCTGAAACATAAAACTTAAGTTCAACTTCTATTAAACCAAAATGAAAATGTATTAGAAGGCTTGCAATACTGGTGAGAGGATGTAAAGCTTTTCAAAACTAAGGTGTGCTTTTTTCTCCAAACTGAGCACAGCTTGATAATAACAAGTCTGGTATCCATCAAATTCTCAATAGGTAAATGCCCGTATTGAGGAATCTATCACCGTAGTTGGTGGTGAGATTACAATTCAGTTTTCTCTGAAGTTAATTGGAACTGGAACAGGATTCTATTTAATGACACATTTTGTCAGTCTCAATAGGACATTCAAGGAATGAATAGGCTTGAAGACCCGGACCATTCATCTTTCTGTGAATGATCATGTTAGGACTGAAGAAAACTTATAGACAGTGTAGGAAAACAGTCCATTTTTTATTCCATTGGTAAGAATCTCAGAAGGGCTCTGCATCACCCCATCTCTTCTCCCAAAGAAAGAAATGCATTTTTAGCTTTACAGTGAGTGCAAAGAGTCTGAAGCTGTAGCACATTACTGGCAGGGATGCCAGGTACATGGGTGGAAGGTGTCTACTCACCATGGGCCAGTGTAACTGACCAGGCTGGGAGTACTGTGGAGGTACTTCACTACTGGAAAGGCTTAATCCATAAAAATTTTATGGAAAACACCATGCATAGAATTGCAGTGCTTGCTTCTTTGGAAACCAGTGGCATACTCATGTCTTACACTTTGCATTGGGACATTAGGTTGTAGAAATAGAATTCAGAGAAGCCTTCAAAATAAACTGGAAGCTGCTTAAATTAGTTAATTGGTTGTATCTAACTGAGAGTATGAAATATTTTTCTTAATATTCAAAGCTCACAAGCTTGCTCTGGAGAAAAAATGTCTGAGAAAATCTATTTCTGGGGTTAAGGAAATGGACAAGGAGCTGGTGGTTCCCCTGGAGCTGGTATCTTACAGGATAATTCATATACACAAATGTGAAAGGACCCAAATTCAAACATGTTTCATCTGCCTGATTTATAAAACAGATTTTGAGAGGAGTTTTCCACTTCTTGGATGTTTGCTCAAGATCTTTCCCTCCATCTTTCAGAGGATAAGGAATCCCATCCTTTTCTCCTTGCAACAAGCTGTTTCTTGACTAGAACTGAAGAAACCTTTCTGGATATAGCTGTAAGCTTTCAAATAACAACATCCTCAAATAACTTGCTACCATCTCCAGATGACTGGAGATCTCAATTTCATTCTGGCACCTAGGATCTGTCCTTAATTGTACTTGGTTTTGTCATCTCTTTTTCTGGACTGTAGAAATACATGTGTGGTCTGAAGCCACCAGTCCCTTAGAAAGGCCAATACAGAGTATTGCATATGTCTGCTCAGTGAGAGGCAGCTGTGAGCTCCTCAGAGCTGTTATTGTCTTTCTTTGCAGACTTCTCTCAAAATTGTGTAAATATTAAGCAGCTGAATTGCCTAAGGGTCTAAGGGTCTAAATCTATATACAAGTTTTTGGGGAGCTCTGTGATAAAGTCTAGAGTCAGTAGCTTTTTCACTTAGGTGCAGTGAAATTTGCTCCCAGGGCTAAAGTTCATGAGTGCAGAAGGCAAAGCCCTGGGAGGTGAGGCATAGGCTTAGAGGAGCTCATGCAGGTAACACTCTCACAGACATCACAATCTGTTCCTCTAAGCACAAAATACACACCTCTTTGAGTATCTTTTCCTAACTAATTGTGCTGTCATGCTTATGCTCCAGAAATAAGAGTTCCAGAAGAGAAGCTTTCTAGAACAACACAAGCCATTGTGTCTGTGATTTTTCCCACGTGATTGCTGTTAAGGCTGGACCCAAAGGAGGACCAGCTATACAAATCTGGAGAATTTTCAGGTATCAAAATGTTAGTAGTTAGCAGAACCAAATTTTTGGGCTATGGAGTATTCTCTGCTTTCATTTAAAGGACCATTTCTTCATCAATTTCTTCCACTTTGCACAATATTGTTATCTATAGCTTTTATCTGTGTGAATTATCCTTCTTTAGGTGGCTCTTCTGATGCTTATGGCATTTAAATATCCTAAACAAAAAAAGACCCAGTGAGATTGTGCAGTACACAGCTCCCATCTCCGGAAGATGAACAGTTTGAGGTTTTGCATAAGTTTATCGGAATCTCCTCTCAAATTTCACCCTGAAAATATGCATTTTGATTGCTGTGCCTGATTTTTAAACATTTGTATTGGATCTAATCCACAGTTATTAATGAATAGGCTGAGAGTTTTGGAAAAATCTCCATACTTGTTTTTGATGTGTGCTCCAGCCTTCAATCTTTTGCTTTGTTGACTAGCAGATTTTATGCATGCTAAAATGTTAGCACAAAATTTACTTTATAATGGAATATAATAACTCAAAAGAAAAAAAAAAAAGATGATTGTTAGTACCATAATTACATATTTTTAAAAAATTCAAGGGGAGTAAGGACACTGTGTAGTGATGAGGAAAGCAGAGAATGGTATGATGATAATTATGAGCCCAAAGAAAGCAAAGTTCACCTTCCTAGAGACATAAATTGAAAGCAAAGACAGTAAAAGTACAATAAGGACAATGGGCTTGCACATGCAACAGGAAT